CGAGCGATTCTGTGATTCTGTGTGATTCTGCTTGGCACAGAAAACTATTCCTTACAGCAGGGATCGAAGCTATGGACTTCTCATTACTACAAGACTCTAAAAATCACCTATTTTCTCTGTCTCTGTTGCACATTCAGTGTACAAAGAGATTCACATCAGATATATTTTTCACAAAGACCTATCTTTGACTAAATGAGTTACATCAAATTACTGAATTTGTTAGGCCTCTATAGGTGGCAAGTGTACCTACACTATGTCTTTATACAGACAGTATAGACAGCTGAAGTTAGACAAGATTAGTCATATCATCAAATACCATGCATATTCCCTTTTCAGATGACAGAAGATGGTTGTTTTATTCTTTCAGACCCGGTTCCTTAGAATCTAAGGAATTTTTTCAGTTATAATTCAGCTCTGGAGGCCTATTGAAGATTTTTTATTATTATTAATGTTCTTAACCACACTATGAGGAGTACCTCTTATTGTGAACCCATCTTCAGGGTTCAGAGAAGTGTTTCCTGAAAAAATAAAACAAAAACAAACCCAACTTACCATTAAGTATGAATGTATCAAGTTCATCTTTTATCAGAATTTTCAATTCAGCATTTTGGAGAAGTTTTAATTTCTGCATATTAACAATATTATTCTTAAGTTTTAGTTTCTTTCTAAACCTTTTATTTTTCTTTTTGATTGCAGTCTCCCAACAAACCTACAGTGCCTCAAGAGAAGATCAGACCACTTACAAGCTTAGATCATCCTCAAAGTCCATTTTATGATCCAGAAGGAGGATCTATCAAGTTGGTAGCCAGAGTTGTCATTGAGAGAATTGCACGCAAGGTATAATATATAAAAAAATCTCAAGCTAGAAAAAAACCCCCAGCACTTCATGAATAAAAACCCTAACATTTCCTCAACCCTGGCCCTGCAATCTACACTCCCTAACCTACCCACAGCAAAGATCATGGCAGAAAATTACTAAAACTGTTTCTTAACTTTAAAACTGTCTTAAGGTATTATTATTCTCCTACTTCTGGTAATTACATCTGTTTAATTGGGGATTTTTTAAAGTATTAATAGGAAGCAGTAGAGAAAAAAAGTGCTGCAGATGCACTAGTGCCTGACAGTATTCTGTTTTAGCCTCTATCGTTGTGTACATGTATGAGTTTTCTACATCCAATGTCCACAATAATTTCTTTGCAGGGGGAGCAATGCAATATCGTACCTGATAACATAGATGATATTGTGGCAGATCTAGCACCAGAGGAAAAAGAAGAAGGTACTTTTTATATTAGTTTGAGTTTGTGCTGTACCAATTCATATTTTGTTCCATTCTCTACTGTCATTTCTAGATAAACTGACTTAGAAGCAAAAGTCCCACTCACTGCCAAAAACTGATTTAGGTTTTCATCTTTTCTGGTATCTACTATGAGCTTTCTCTTATACAGCAAAGAAATTGCATGTATACCTGAAAGATGACGATAACAATAAAAGCAATAAGAGAAGCCTTTTGGGGTTCAAATAAAAATACTTCTTTTTTAAAATGAAAGTTGGCAATTGCTTGTTGGTTTTCTTTTCTTTTCTTTTGGGCTAAAAACAGAGAAGACAGAGTGCAGGAGAAAAGAATGTATACTATCAGTTTCTAAAGTAATCACCAGCTAAGTAAAGGGAATAAGGTGGAGGGCAATCTATTTTTAATATTCACTGTCTTTTCTTACTTTTTAGATGATACTCCGGAGACCTGCATATATTCAAACTGGTCCCCATGGTCAGCCTGCAGTTCTTCTACCTGTGAAAAGGGGAAGAGGATGAGGCAGAGAATGCTTAAAGCTCAGCTGGACCTCAGCGTGCCCTGCCCAGATACCCAAGATTTTCAGCCATGCATGGGTCCAGGCTGCAGTGATGAAGGTAACTGAGAGGAAAGGGTGGAGAAGAACGCCACTTTGTAGGGTTTACATTTCCTTTAAAGCTCTTAAAGCTGTTGGTTGTGGTAGTATGACTTGGGTTATGGCAAACAGAGGAATTGTTGCTGAAGAACACAAATTGAAGCTCTCTGTGGTCAATTCTGCAGTACATCTGAGTTGGTGCATGAAGTACACAAAAGTATAAAGGAGTAAAGTAAGTAATAGAGAGGACAGAATGTGAGAAGCAGCATAAAAGTGATACTGCACACAAATGGTCAACTACAGATTTAGCAGCAATTCTAATAATATTAGCAATTGAAATGGTTCTCTGTATTTTAGATGGTTCCACTTGCATGATGTCTGACTGGATTACATGGTCCCCCTGTAGTGTTTCCTGTGGAATGGGAACGCGATCTAGAGAGAGATATGTAAAACAATTCCCTGAAGATGGCTCTATGTGCAAAGTGCCTACAGAAGAGACTGAGAAATGTATTGTAAATGAGGAGTGTTGTAAGTATCTTTTTTAGCTTTGTAAAATCCAGCTGATAGCAGGAGCACTGCCCAACCCATTTTTTCATATGAAATCTACTAGTGAATTATTTTCTCTGTCCATTTTGAATAGCCCCTAGCAGCTGCCTTGTCACTGAATGGGGAGAGTGGGATGAGTGCAGTGCTAGCTGTGGCACAGGGATGAAGAGACGACACAGAATGATAAAGATGACTCCTGCTGATGGATCCATGTGCAAGGCAGAAACTACAGAGGCAGAGAAATGCATGATGCCTGAATGCCGTAAGTGTCCATGAGTTTATCTCCTCTGCTATAGAGTCATCATTTCTGACACGCTGCTCCAACACAAAGAATATAGCTAAACAAGAAGCAATGTTGCTTTTTCTGTTTTCTCCTTAAAATTAGATCACTACTGTGCATTAAGTACCACATTCACCAACAATATGAGAGTGCAAGTAAAAAATATTCAGAGATATGCTATTATTGTATTACCCACATAGTGAAGTGTATATTAGCAAGTCATACATAAGCAACTCTAATTTATGGAGTATGAAGTATACTTAATCATAAGGCTAGAATAAAACAGAGCCCTCTCCTTTTAGCCCATGAACAGTTCAGAAATTGAGGTGCTTATTTTGTGCAGTCAGCCAGTCTTGCCCTTACTGTGATTATTAATATTGGGTTTTAATTTGTTAAGAAATGTTAAGATTTTCAACAAAAATAGAAAGAATTAAATTAAAGAAGATTTTTGGTAGATAAAATGTGGAAGTATCACATTTTAGACTATATTAATCTGACTTCCAGTTCTGTCCACTGCAACAACCCAGGTTCTTTTGAAACGTTCCTTCTTAAACTATTTATTCCCTGGAAGCACTGGGATTCTGCAGACATTAATAAGACCAAGAAAAAGATAGAAAAGAAAAGGTATTAAAACCAAGCAAATGTTTCAATTTAATGCAGTGTTTTCTGAGCTTCTTCAGCAACATCATTCACCTTGTGATTAATTTTGTCCAAAGTGACAATGAAGTATAATTGGTTAATGACAGTTAAAACACAGTACTGTACTATTTTGGGTTAAAAACAGAGAACACCTGTACAGTGTACACCAAGAGTGTACACCTGTACTATTTTCATAATTTACATATATCAAGAACTCATTACCTTTTTATTTTCATATTAGATACCATCCCCTGTCTACTCTCTCCTTGGTCTGAATGGAGCGACTGCAGTGTAACATGTGGGAAGGGAATGCGAACCCGGCAAAGGATGCTGAAATCTGCCGCTGAGCTTGGAGACTGCAACGAGGAGCTGGAACAAGCAGAAAAATGCATGCTGCCTGAATGCCGTAAGTGTGGGAAACTCTCTGGAAAGAGAAGGCTAATTATTTGTGTCACGGTCTGTGGGTCAAATCTCTATCACCATTTTTAGCATCACTTCTTAGATAGAAGTGTTATCAACTATGGAATTAAAAAAAAAAAGTAGTATTATTGTTATTATTGGGCACTTTCAGCTATTGAGAGCTGGAATGTGATCATGTCTCAATTCCAGCTTGTCTTAATTAACCCTGCTTGGTCCCCACTATAGAAAAAAGAAGTGGACAGGTTGGAAGGGGTCCAGAGAATGGTCACTGGACCTGTTCAGCCTTGGGAAGAGAAGACTTAGGGGGGACCTTATCACCATGTACCAGTACATAAAGGGTGGCTACCGAGAAGATGGAGACTCTCTTTTCACAAGGAGTCACATGGCGAAGATGAGGGGTAATGGACACAAGTTGCTTCTGGAGAGATTTCAATTGAACTCCAGAAGTTTTTTTGCCATGAGATCAATCAGACATTGGAACAATCCTCAGGGGAAGTGGTGAATTCCTCTACACTGGTCAGTTTGAAGAATCAGCTTGACAGGGTGCTGACTCATCTCATTTAAACTATGCTTTTACCTCGAGAGGTTGGACTGGGTGATCCCTGTGGTCCCTTCCAACCTGGTATTCTATGATTCTGTGATTCTATGACCAATATTGCTTTGGGTATACAGTTTCTGCATATTTAACACACTACAACTTCAGGCAACAGCTTGTGCCCTTCACAACAGTAAATAAGTCAGAATCAAAAAACCTATTTTTTACTCAAATTCAGAATTGTGGGCTAGGAAGAAAGGAAGGATTAAAACCACCTGTGTGATTCTTTTAGCTCACAGAAAGAGCACAAAAGAGGCTCACTCCATCTTTGATGCCTTTCCGAACTGTATCATAGCATATTTACTGATCTACATACATTGCAACCTGGAATATCACATGAGCCAGTGGATTGCGTGGAGTCAGCTGCATTGATTTTTTTTACCTTACTCCACTAGAATCCCCCACTTGTCAAGTGGTGCAAATTTCTAGTTGCTTTGCAGTCTTTTAGAAGCATGACAGCCTAAGGCGCTGCTGAATGAATAAGATATGATTGCTTTTAGTGTCCTGTTGCCAGCTGGTTTATGAGGCATTATAACTAATTACATTATTTTTCACAGAAAGTGTTGGTTAAAAAGGCTTTTACCCTGTAATTTGCTAATTCAACTTTTCTTAAATAATGTGAAATATCATTTTGATTATTATTCACTGGAACTGTAAGTTTTAAGCCGTGGTGAAAGTTGAAAACTTTTAAGACATCATGTTATTAGCCAATCTTGCTTATTGCATAACACAACCAGTAAAGCAAGGCTTACATCTCAGAAGTATCAGATTCTTTGTAAATATAAGTCAATTTTTAACAGCTTTTCACTATAAAACAGACATATGGGTGTACAGAATGGAAAATTTAAGAAGGCACACAACAATTATTTAGATAGGTTTTGTAATTCTAGTGATCTGCCAGCACCACTCTCTAACAAGAAATTGTGGAAAGTGTCAAATAATAGTTCTGCTAGAAATGGGCTCAGAAAATGTAGATGTGTAGCCTCACAAAATTTACCGAAAAGACTGAAGGCTTAAGTTGCATTTGTGTACATAGGATGTAAAAACTCATTAGGCACATCTGTGCGTTTCTTCTTGACCTTCTGGTTAGATCTCATGGATTTTGTGTAATACTTCTCTTTCTTTGCAGCCATTGACTGTGAACTAACAGAGTGGTCCCAGTGGTCCGAATGCAATACCTCATGTGGAAAAGGCCATATGATCAGGACAAGAATGATTAAAATAGAACCACAGTTTGGAGGAACAGCATGCCCAGAAACTGTCCAACGTACAAAATGTCGAGTAAGGAAATGCCTGAGAGGCCCAGGTATGGAAAAAAGGCGCTGGAAGGAGGCCCGGGAGAAAAGGAGAAGTGAACAAGCAAAAAAAAATATAGATAGTGAGCAATATCCAGGTGAGTGTGAAACCATTATTTAGCATGCTCAAGTCTATTTGTCTTTTCTGCATAACAGGAGCTTGTGAGCAGCTCCACTGCATGTTGCGAGAACATTTGCAGTATTTCAGTCTAGGGAAAGTTTTAGCATTAAAGTAAAGCACAGTCACTTCTGGTGTTTGCCTGTCTTCAAAAACATGCGACCAAGGTTTAGGGCATGATGCAGAAAGGCTCACAACTGTTAATGTCCCATCACTGACAATATTTTGCTTTTTTACTACAAAGTGTGCAATGTTAAAAATGGAGAATTTAGACCTGGCAAAGTGCTGATTGCAATTTCTGTAGAGTTGGGTGATAATCTTTGCATCCAGTTACCTTTGAAAGTATTTGTTCCTAGATCCAATGCTAAATTTCAAAACTGAATTGATTTAAATCAATTTTAATTCAAAACTGACACAGACTGGTCTGAGAGATCTGCTCGGACTACTTTTCCAATATGGGACAGTAATATCAAGCACTGCTGCCTCAAATCAATAAAACATAAAATATCTCATGGTATAGTTTATATTATTGGGGTATGAATTACTGTTAAGTTGTGGTTCATGCCTGTCTGACATTTAACAATTTCTTAATTTTATCTGTGTTTTATAATGTAGACAATAAATTTATTTCTTTCTGAATATGTTTTTTCAGTGTTTGACAAATGCACATTGATTGTACTTAACTGTAGTTTCTTAACTCCTACTGTAATAAACTAGGCAGTATAGTATCTTAGATTGGAAAGATGTACATGTACACACATGCATATGTGGTACACACATCAAGATATGTAGGTAAGACTGAAATGACTTTGTTTTCAGTTTGTAGGCTGAAACCGTGGACTGCTTGGACAGAATGTTCTACACTCTGTGGAGGTGGAATTCAGGAACGCTACATGATGGTAAAGAAGAGGTCCAAAAGTACTCAGTTTACTAGTTGCAAAGACAAAAAGGAGCTAAGAGCATGTAATGTTCATCCTTGTTAACAAAACACAAGGCTTCCAAGTGATGCACTCTGAGCTAAATGGAAAGTCAACCTTGGTTTGGTTTTTAAAACAAACAAACAAAAAATACAACGTGTATATTAGTTTTCATTTTTGCAGTGTGGTTTGCTTTTTAGTCTTGCTGGTGCAAGAAATATATTTTATAAATATTTCCTCACAGATTTATGCTGAGTAAATCTTTGGTACTCCAGCTAGCCCTTAATGCATAAAAATAGTAAGTCATTACGAGTCATTTAACTAAAATACAGACATATCTGTGGACATGGAATAGCCATATAGAAATACTAATTGTAAAGACATGGGATGCATGCATATTAACATAATAACTAAGTTAAAGTGACATGTTTCATATGTGGGAGGATTTCTCTCTCTCGATTTGATTTTGAAAATCCAAAGCAGTGCCTATGTGATTACACAACTATGCCAAGGAGTAATTTCAGTAATGCTGGTTCAATAATATTAAAGGTGCATGTTTGTTTTTTTACACTGTTGGGTTAAGCTGATAGTTATAACAATTATCCTATATACTTTTCTTCACATGGATGCTACAGTCCATACAAAAAGGTCTTTGTTTCTTTAAAACTTAAAAAGTTATAATTTGTGCAGCTCAATAGTGATATCTGCCCACTACACAGTCACAGTCAAAACAGCACACAAAGGAAACGTGTGAATGTCATAATGTATTCAGATGCCATGTTCTTATATCGGGTCTATCCACTGCCTCTCAAAATGGACACAGAACTAACAGAAATTGGTCGAAATACAGAGTTGCAACAGCTGTGTCACAGAAAGATTTCCACAGGAGAAACACTAAAAAATTAGATTCAGTTTCCTAAGGATGTTAATCACAAGAGGAGAGAGAGAGAGAGTTTATAATATAATAAAAATGGTAGAGAAAAGGTGAGCCAGGTTCTCATGCATCTCTTCTAACAAACAAAGGGAAGGGAGCCTCTGAAATGAAACAATGACAGCCTCTTAAAACTTTACAGATTGACACAAGAATATATTGACAGCAGTGCCATTTATGTGTTCTGGGTTTTTTTTACTCAGAGTATAGGAGGATCTAAAAATAAATTTGAGATAATTACTTATTTGTAGACACACTAGTCAGGATAAATATTTTCCCTGGTCACTTGAGTGATCAACAAACTGCCTGAGATTAGAAGATAGTTCCTGACCATTCTAATTGCTTTTTCTGGTTTACGCCATCTCCCGAAGAGTTCGGCTCTCATGCCTACGCGTAACCAGGTGCAGGACCAGTAAGACCTTGGGCTTCACTTGCTATTGGAATATAATACTGTCCTGGAAGTTTAACAAGTTAACACTAAAGATGAGAGATGGAGGAGATGGGTTATCTTTTGGTCTAGAAAAAGCAGCATACACCTATGTCTCTACATAAATAATAACAATGCACTGAAAATACAGACTTTTGATGCTGACTTTCAAAACAAGCTTGAGAGAAATGAATGGAGAAAAAATTCTATTACAGTCTCTTTAAACCAGCCTTAAGTAATTTACTCACTTCCTTAACACCTGGTCACAATCCTGAGAACTTGACATCCAGGTTTTAAGTGTCCAAATTTGATGTGAACCACAACCCACTGAGGCTGTCCAACTTCACCATCACTACCCTGGGAATCCTCTCATGACCTCCCTGTACCTGAACAGGCTAGATGGCCTGGTTACACTACACTGGAGGGCTTTTCGTCATCATTTCTCCACTGACCACTGCAAGGGCTGCTCAGGACTTCCACAGCTGTTGCATCCCACCTCCTCAAGGTATTTTACAGCTTTTTTTTTTAGATCTGGAATGAAGCAAGCACCAGGGAAATAATGGAACCAACCACAGTGTTTAGCCTCTCCGACTGCTGCTAAATGAAATGGGTGCAAGCTCATAGTGAACCAAACCAGGAGAAAAAAAAAATACATCAAGGTTTAATGTTAAAACCAAACACTTTACATTTTGCACAGCTTGGCTCATCTAATAATATTAATTCAGATAGTTTGCCTGCTTAAACTACAGAATTTTTCAACAGGCACATGTCTCTATAGCACTGTCATTACAGCAAGACTGTCTCTAACTGAACTATTTATGACCTTATCTTGCACATTACTCTTTTATGACCAATAAAACCCAACAAAAAACAACAGTGGAATGAGATAGATAGTGGAGGAGTGACCAGCTGAGCATATTTCAGGGGAAGAAACAGATGGCTGCAGAGCAGGGCTACAGCAATTTATGCCAGGCGTCCAGCCAGGGCAGAGCCACATAGGCAACCAAGACCCACACGTCACCTACATTGGTGAACCACTCTTT